ATCTAATTAATGTCGATAACTACATACGTCTTCATAGACATGCATACGTACGACGATAATTTACAACCTACATTTTTAAACTTCTTCAGTCATATTAGATTGATATAACAAAACAAATTGGAAAAGAAACGGTTAAAATTCACACTTGTCGAATTTCTCACACGTGTTGTGAAATTCAAAGATACTCGGATGTCCTTAAGTCTCAGAATAGTGAATGAAAAGGGGGCGAAGCACTTGGCTTTTTCTTATTTTAAAATCCTGAAGTCTCAACGCTGCAGGAAAGAAGTAAAAAGGGTTTCACCTCCGGTTACCAGTTCCGGCTAAGCCGATATGCATTCATTACAATAAGAAATGTAGTCTCGAGTGAAAAGTTTTGGTGCGCCATGGCTTATCAACTTTCCCCCACTACTTTTCACCGAGTTTTCTATTATTTAACAGTACGCTTAAAATCATCCTTTTTCTTTTCCTTTATTTCTTGCGTATTCGCTTGTCTCGACTGTACCATGAGTTTACTGGAATCGCCTTTTCTTCCTTTTTTCTCCAAGCGACTCTCGTCCCTCCAATTTTCTCACCGCCGATTCCATCTCACTGGAAAACTTGACGAAACTTCTCCTGTTCTGCGTTAAACTGAAGATCTACGGTATTTGAAGTCTTGTTAATGTCGTTTGCATTTTCAGTTGTCATTAACGTTGAGAGTTTTATCTTCTCACCGGGAATTGATTACAGCACACATTCACGCTAATGCCATTAAAAGTGATGGCAAACTAACACAGAATGGCTATACTATTGAAAATCTGTATTATTATCGCACTTACGGATAATTATGTAGACTTATAAAACCAAATAACTAAAGGTGTTGGGTCGGACTTGAATTTAATGACTGAAATTGTTGATAAAGTATTGTGTTTCCATTAAAAAGAATCCAAATTATGTTTTTCCATCATCAAAAACTGTATGCATTGACGCTCTTTTTCAATTCAATTTCGAAGAATTAAAAATATCGGAAATAATACGGTATATCGTAAAAATAAAATTCAAATTGATGCTTTCAATGATTAAAAACAAAATAATCTCTTGCTTTATATTAAATGGTTCGATCTGACAACTGCAGAAAATTCAATTCTTCAATATATAAAAAACGAGAGGTGTGAAATTCGAACGACTTTTGTAATATCACAAGTTTATGTAAAAAATTCTCAACTCTTTAATTAGTTCACATGAATAATGAGATCAGTAAACAAAAGATATTTCATTCTCCCATTAATATTATTTTCCACTCAGATTAGTTCATTTCTCGATAAGAAAAGCTCCACAATATTAATAACAAACGTAGCTTAATCATTTCTCATGTTTGTAGGGAACAACGCGGGTATGCTAATGATGGGCGTTAACAAATGGTGCAAAATTACGCATAATATAATATACATATGTGGGACACGTACCAGGGCTGCACTCAGTGCCATGCAATTTCTCGTCATCAAGGGGTTTCCATACGCAGTGCTCATACTTTTACGACTTGGTACGCTCTTTCTTATCGCTCTTATGTTCCCCGTACACAATAGCTGACACAAGTCACCCAACGTCCTACAACTCGGTGATATACGGGTTGGATGATTAAACTTACTTCTTGACAAATCTAAATTGCATTAAAAGCACATTCATCATTTTCATCCTAATTAAAATAAAAAATGCATGATGAAGAACGCATGTTAGCTGGTGTAACTCGCGATCACCGGAAATATACAAAACTTCAGAGGAAAAATCTGGACAATGATGAAGCACAGGCACGCCGAGTCACATATTTAATAAACATTATGTATCTTTTCTGAGGTTTCTCGAAATTTTTATCTCAATGTTTTGTGAAAAATTGCAATATCACTACATTTTTTTTAAGTTACTTTCGTAATTGTCAAGCAAACTTAAATTCCACAAATTTTATTGAATATTTCTCCATAACGTAATCACGCAGAGAAATAGGCAATAAAAATGATGTTTATTTTCCGTTATTCCGGACTGAAAAGTTGTTAAGGAAAATTTAATGGAACTTTTCCGGAATCTTCCCAGAAGGTTTGATAATTTTCGTCTGAATTTTCAGTGACGAATTATGATACTGACACGTCAATTTTCTTAGTCACCTACGTGATCGGTAAGTGAGCTCTGTAGTTTTTATTGAATATTTCAGATAAAAACCTTTGTCTGCCAAAAACGACTGTGACACAACCACGTGCGTGCAGAGAAGCTTGATTAATTAATAAAATGAATATGTGATTAATTTTAAAACTCGAGTAGTACTAGTCGAATTATTTCCGCATCGAATGTCGAACAGAGAATTTTGCCCTAATCTAGAACATAACTCCATTAATTGTCAAAAATATATACAGCGATACATTGTTATTGATTGCTGATAAATAGTTTATGACACATTCGTCACTGAATCAATTAAGTTTTCAGATTTAATTACTGAAGTTTGACAGTGGTGAAGTTCCAATTCAAGTTTGACACATCTTGTTATTAAAAATCTCGAATTTTGTGGAAAAATTACTCAAAACCTTAAATTTCTATTCCACTGTTCCTTGGGAATCAATAAGGAAATTGAAAATTCCGGCAAATGCATAACAAATTTTGACCTGACGACGTGTCTTGGGACTTAGTTGGGGTTTAATCAGTGTGTAGTTGAGACGTAGCTGCCATTCAATCGAAACTTCATCAAGGTTTATCCACAAATAAACCTGTCAAGGCTTAATCAACCTTGTACAAAGTTGACTAATGACTTACAGTCCCATCTTAATGACCTGATAACAATAATTCTTCAATGACCATTGAACATTTGAATTTCGTCTTGAAGTGAATTTTTCCGAAACAGATTGATTAATTCCACAACATCAAATATTTGATGCACAGAACATCTCAACGACTTTTCCGAAAAAATGATTTCAAACTGTAGATCAACTCCAGAACGCCAATTAGGCGGAAACTTTCCGGTAATTTTAAGCAGAATGAACATATATTTTTTCCGTCAGAGTATAAAAATGTAATAATTGAGACGATTCTCTTTAAGAAAACAATCGAATTATGAAATTCCTGAAAGAGCAGAGTCTCACGGAAACTGAGCAGCGGGTGTTCCATATTTTCTCATGAGATAAAATATCCGAGCCACCGTGAATTTTCCGAATTGCTGAAGTATTCAACAACAGTGGAGAGGCAAAATTTTAACGAGAAATCACGCGTGACTCGTCACGGATATTTTTCTTATGGTTACCCACGCCCAGTATATTTTGCCGCATCCTTTGATTTTGCGAGAGTGAACCCCCAGCGGGCCTGGCAAAATTTAGTATTTTTTCAATTCCGCATGGATGAATGCAACAGGCGGCTCTTCCCACACAGCGATAAACGCTATGGAGATACTGTACAACAGTTTCTCGGTCTATTTTTTTTTATTTCTGTGCACAATACATCCATGACTGCATTTCACAGGCCCCATGGCTTGCAATGAAATCAACTTGACTTCGGGTGTTTGTGTCAGGGTTGAATGTTTGAGTAAGTACTATTTTTTTCCCCTCAGGCTTAGACCAACATAAGCATTCCATTTAGTTATTCTTTCCCAGCAATAATAAACCCTGAATTTCATTCAAAAACTATTTTCCTCTTTTTCAATGTCCAAGTGTTTATTCTGCACTGTTAATGCAAATATTACGTTTCGTGAGGTCTTGGAATGCCTTTTAATGAAAGTACAGGTGGTAGTATTGTATAGTACGGGCTGGTCTCTGATAAACCATTTCCATTAAGATACGTGGAAAAAATGAATCAGAGGGAGTTACTTTTGTCGCACGACATGGTCAAATGGTATAAGCACTGCGTCGAATAATGAATAATTTATAAATTTTGTATTTTAGAGGATAGAATTTATTATTAGGATTAATTATTTTTTCCAAGTCCTGTAATCTATATTATATTGTTATATCGTATTAGGGTTAGATAATTGAATAATTTTTCATCAACTAAATAGGAACGTTTTAAAACTCAAAAGCATTATATCCCAAAAATCCAGAAAAATGTTCTGGATTTTGGAATTAAATTTCTCTTCATTGAAAACATGGAAGAGCTCTGTTTCTTGGGGTATAAAGCTAGACACTATCTTGTTCGAGTATTTATAAAAATTAAATGGAATAATTTTCGTGATTATTTCTGGGACTATTGAGATGAGAGAAGTTATTTTTTTTTTCAAACGGACTTTATGTTTTCTGTATGTTGATTATCTGAAGTGAATAGATTCTTTAATTTCTTAATTTAATGATTATGTGAAAATTGAAGGAAAATTGGAAAGGTCTAGGGAGAATGGAAAATTTCATCTAGTTATAAATTTGTGATTTCTAACAGTGTTTCATGGCCCAGGATATGTTCTTCTCATAAATGAATAATGTAAAAAGTTTTAAGCAAAATTTTCTTAAATTCAATAAATTCAAATTTCAAACATTATTATTTGCAGTAGAAATAGCCCCAATCATTGATTCCTTTATAAAACGGAAGATGAAACTCTCTTTTCTAACATTTTGTTCTCAACGAATTGAAAAGATGATTTAAGCCAGGCTTATATTGACTTATAAAGACTCGCTTTTGCGAATCAACATCATAGACTAATCATAGATTGATTTTAATATATCTTCCAATTTCCAAATGGAAATGTCAAAATATCCAGAAAACTTTAAACTAAATAGGATTATATATAATATCAATTATTTTAATAAGTCTTGAAAATTAATAAGAGCAATATTATGAATTTATTGAATGTATTATAATACTTGACAAAACTATTCGATATGTCCTTACAATTTTGAAATATCCTCTAAAAACTAGTTCCATGACAACCTAAATTATGTGCGATGATGACTATTTTTTTGTTCATTCTTGTATCAGATACAGTAGACAATAAAATATCCGTTCTCTGAGACAATTTTCATAATTTTTTTAACGAAAATAATTGTGTCTAGTGAGAAATTTAAATTCTAGGGATTTCATGGAGACTTTCACACCCTCCCTGGAGACCAGCTGTCGGTTGAATGTCCAGGTGTTGTTATGATGCGTTACATTGACAACTTCATCAGGTAAAATCGATCACATAGAGGCTCAATAATAATTTCCATCACTCATCACTACCCCGATAATGATCACGTACCCAACACGTCTCTAAATTCTGGTATGTACATCTTTAATTCAGTATTTTCCACATTTTTAAGCGTATAACCTAAAAATAATTATTTACAACGTCTCCCTGTGATTTTAGAATTACGATATTCAGAGAAAATAAAAAAATGGGAGATTCAAAGCCACCAGACACGTCAGAATGGAAACATCCGAACGAAGTGATGCAGTTGCATCGTTTAAAAATGAGAAAACGTGCACTTCAGGCTCGAATGAATCGAACGTCATTGGGAAGTCCAAAGCCCTCCCTAGACATCACAATTACAGGACCTCTTAGTGAATTGGCTTCTTCAGTCGCCCAGAAACGAAAAAATCCATTTATGAAGAACGATAGGAGAAAAAGATCTAAAGACGACCTCGAGCCTGATCTCGAGGCCAGCACTGACTCAGTTCTCTTCGAATTGATGAAGGGACAAGCATCCACAGTTCAGAACGATGAGAATGTCGAACCTAAACCGACAGAGTCACCCAGTTTGTCATTCTCCAGCGCTCTATCGAAATTACAGAGTCTAGATAATTATGTAGTTGAGTCTGAGGATCCTAAGGGAGTATCTTACATACCTATTGATTGGAGTTTGAATACTAAAGTGAGATTTATGTCTCTGAAACCATTTCCCTGGAATGGAAAACTGAAAACTAGTGAACAGGCATCTGGGACAACTGGTTTTGTCAGGTGTTTAGATATTGGAGAGCAGGAGACTACTTTGGATACTAGTCCCAATGCAAGGTCAGTTGAAGTACTGTTTTGATAATCTCCTCTCAATCTACCAGTTATTGCTACTTTTACGTTCTTTCTAAACATCCAAAAAATATATTTTTTCAATGAGGGATTATTTGAAGCGTTAAAAGTCGTTACTCAACTGTCGTTGCTCTCTTTAACGAATTTCCATTCTTCATTGAGCGAATTAAAATAATACCTTTAAAACTTAAAAGAATTCTAATGTAGCAATGCCTCCTACTTAAGAAGAAATATTAAAATCCTTGCTCCAGTTATTACCACCCTTCGTAGTCTGTTAAGAAATTTGGCTGTCTGTCCCCATTTCGCAGATATTAATTGATAATTGGGATTGAGACATTGAGACATTGGGTCTGAAGTTTTTTATCTTTTTTTTTTCAATACTCAAGAATTGTATAGAAGATAATTCCCCTGAAATTAATTAAAAATTACTCTTACTTTATTTATTTTTCAGATTTCACAGATGCTGTCTAGTCTGGCAGCATCCATCCTTACCATGGCTTGAACTATTTCCCCGTGCAGCTGGAAAAGTCAGTGCCAGTTTATCCAGTAATTCTGCTATTGCCAATAATCAATTTGTCAAGGATGCACTTTTCTCAGAATGGAGTGAGAGCTTTCGTTCGTTATTTCATCTGCTGCGAGCTAGACAGTGTCCTTTCTTCTATGTGTGTGCTAATAATTTCACTGCACTATTTCGAGCTGCTGGAATATGTGGAGTTTCGGAGGTCCACGTGCTTCTGTCCCCAACGACAAGAGGATTCAGACAAGCATTGAAGCAAGAAGGTAGACTTCCCTTTCTGTGGAGTATGCTAGTTCAAAAAACGGCTATAATACTCAAGATAACTAATTGATTTTTTTCTTACAGACATTGAATACACAATGCCATTGAGAGCAGAGGAGAAAAGACGATCTGATACCACTGATTCTGGATGTGATACTTTAGATTCTAGTACCTCAAATACTGTTATCTCGACTGATCCGGTGGAGGGTGAGCGTCACTTGCATGACGACGAGGATGAAGATGATTTGTTGGAGAGTCTTGGTATTGAAGATTCAGAAATTAAGAAGATTAATAATGTACAGGTATATGATTTACTGATCACTCAAAGATATGACAAGTTATTTAATTATGATGTGGAAATTATTGACGAACTTCTGTTGTTAAATAAAACTGCTACAGCAAAATTGGCTTGAGCCTTTTTTATGGAATTGTATCATTATGATGATGATCTATTTCACATTCATTGTGAAAATGATGTGATGAAAAAATGTATGTTTAATGTGCTACGTGTTATATTATAAAATTTTCCGTTGAGAAAAGAAAATCATTGCATTTAAAATTTTACAGAAACGAATAATATTCGAAAAGGAAGCTGAGGTTGATGCCTTGAAGCAGTCCCTTGTTTTCATCAAAGGTGTCGAAGCTCAGGCATTATTCAATTTTTTGATAAATTGCAAGTCAGCAGTTGCAGTGACTGGAGCACTTGCTGGAGTTCCTCCTACACTTCTTGCACCGATCGCATTCCATGGAGCAACATTAAAGCCTTTAAAAGTAAATCCTTCATCAATTTTTTTATTAATCTTTGAAAAGAATGAAAAGAGACGACCATATTTTTATCTATTTTTTTTTACTGGCAGTTTTAATATTGAATAATATTGATATTTTCAGGTGAGAGAAAGCACCGTACGCGTTGATAAGGAAAAATTCCATTCTTTGGAAATCAAAGGACCACTGTTGCCTCATATTTTACCATCTCTCTGTCATCTCATGAGATCTAGTCACTTGGAGCAATTTTCTGTCAGCTTTGCTCAACTTTCCTCGACAAATGCCTTCTCTGCTGCTAAACATGGTTTAGGTAATTTTATCAGTATTGCTAATTGGATGAAAAAAAAATTATCAATTTCTCTCATCAGAAAGTTATAGCAGAAAAAAATGCAGAATAACAATTGCTAAAGATTGCTCTACCAATTTTTATTTCACAACTTTTACCTGAATTTGATGATTAATCCAATGCTTGTCTCATTATTCTTTCAGAATCACCTTCAGCAGATGATAATGATGAAATACAACCTCAGAGTGTGTTCGGCCAAGAGAATTTATCTGATTGTGGATTCAATTCAGAATTACTGTCACATTTCTGTAATCCTGACATTTCACGCATCCAAGTAGTAGAAGCACTAAAATTTTCAAATGACGTTTACACGTGGTCTTGATGATCGCTAAAATAATTTTAATACACCAGTCAGGGACAAAAATCATTATTGCTTCAAAGACTTCGATGAAGTGACACTCAATGTGTACCTCGAGATGCGGAATTACCTCATCATTATTGACAATATTATTCAATGTACGTCTTACCATCTAGTCTTAGTTTGCGGAAGAAACACTTTGCATAATGAGCTTGTCACTCAAAATTTTTCCATTGTAGTTTTATTTATTTAATTTATTTTCGGAAAAACGTGAATAGCAAAATGCAGAAATACCAGTGAGCGAAAATCATTTAAATTATTAAATACCACTTTGTACAAAAAATATGAGATAGGAGACGAAGAATTGTGAAATCTTTTTTGACATTTATAAATTAATAAATAGAAAATTGCATTGCTACTTGTTGAATGATGATTGCCTTAGTATCCTGAAGCTTTATTTCATCTAAATAGTGAAATTGTCGAAAGATATACTTAAAAATTGAAAAGAAATCTCAAACATAGTAAAGTGATCTTTAAATAGCTTTATATTTTTATAAAGCACGAATCTACTCAAAATTTAAATGAGGCTAAATGTTCCAAATTATACCCATAGATTCAGTCAAGTATAAGGATGAAAAATTTTGTCTTACTATCATTTTACAAAAAAAAATTACTTAAAGATTGAAGTTGCATTGGGTCGACATTTTTTGTTTGCGAATACGCGAACGATGGTATCATTGAAAAGCTGGCAAAAAAGATTCCCGGAGGATTTACCAACAGCGCGTTCCTACCCAATAACCTCTCCAGCAGGCAATTTATCATTCGATGTAGTACATTTCGACACTAGGTACATTGACCATCAACCATTAAACTTCTCAATTATCGACACTCTCGGCCTCGCGCTCTGCCTTACTCACAGGGACAGGCTCAAGAGCATGTTCAAGGGTTGTATCATGCGCTGGCAATCTCCCCTCTATAATCTCTAACTAGGTTTAGAAGGCGGCAAATAACTACCCTGAGTTGTCCTCCAACGTGATGCCAGGTGCCAGGTTAGATGTTAAACACCCTCTAAAATCTGCATGAATCAGCTGTTAGATCACGTAAACTCCCTCGAAAATGGAGCCCGATGGCTGTTATTTATCCTGCACAATCATCGCGGAGTGGACAAATCCTCAAGGAATGACAACTCGCAAGGTTAGTTACAGATCAGCTCAACTCCGCCTGCTCAGGAACAATCAGCGTCAGATGCTGATTGAGATTCGCGCTGAAAAAGCCAACACCACAATTAAACTCGCTCTCAGGGGCATAAACGTCCTGAACCGCTATATGAGCGAAGGCAAGTCGACGATTAAATTTGCTGAAGAACGCTGCACCCTCTTCCTGTCGAATGCTCCAGCTGCACAACTCATCACTTTCCTGAAGACGATATTCGTGAAGATGACGGGACAAACGGATGATGGGAAGCCACAGTCGAAGAATCCACTGAGAGAGCAACTCCTGTCCAATGGAAAGTTGGGAGGGACTCAGGACATCAGCCCAGCTACCAATGCTGAACTCAATCTGGCGAAGGAAAAGGCTCTTCTGGTCGCCGCCTCCAGGAAAACTGTCACCACTCCATCTCCCAGCACAACCAGGAAGAGGAAATTGACGGGCTCCAGCAGTTCATACGTTCCCATTGCTAAAAAACTTTATGCTAATCCAACAGCTGTGGAATTGACTGATGAGCAGAAGGGAGTCCTTGATGCTGTGCTCAAGGGAAAAAATATCTTCTTCACTGGCAGTGCTGGCACAGGTAAGCTGCTGATTTCCATTCAATTTTCGTATTTCAGGATAAAAAAAAATCTGGAATCCCATCGTTAATATAAAAAATTTTGACAGGTAAATCTTTTCTCCTGAAAAGAATAATTGCCGAGCTGCCGCCAGCGGTGACGACAGCAACTGCTAGCACAGGAGTTGCTGCTTGTCACATCGGTGGAATAACCCTCCACCAGTTCTCTGGGATTGGCCTTGGAACTGGAACAGTTGAGAGATGCTATCAAATGGCGTCGCGTCCGGCCACTGCAACAATCTGGAGACGAACGAAATACCTGATTATCGACGAGATATCCATGGTAGACGGCGAGTACTTCGAGAAGATCGAGGCAGTCGCCAGACACGTTAGGAAAAACGACCGTCCCTTCGGAGGCATTCAACTGATTCTCTGTGGGGACTTTTTCCAACTGCCTCCAGTCAACAAAACCAGCGACACCAAGAAATTCTGCTTCCAGAGCAAGGCCTGGGAGAAGTGCGTTCACCTGAATTTCGAACTGCAAAGAGTTCATCGGCAGAAGGACCCAAAATTCGTCAAAGTCCTCAATAGCTTGAGAATCGGACGAGTTACAGACGAGATCACGACAATTTTGAAGTCAACGTCGAGCCAGAAAATTGAGAAAGGTGGAATTCTTGCCACGCGATTGTGCTCGCATGTTAATGAGGCTAATGAGATTAATGAATCCCAGTTGGCGAATTTGAAGGGTTCAACCAAGACTTACGTAGCTCAAGATTCAGAAGAATCAATGACGAAAACTCTTGATCAGCAACTGCCTGTCCCCGGGAAATTAACGTTGAAAGTTGGAGCCCAAGTTATGCTCCTCAAGAACATCAATATCAGCAATGGACTGGTGAATGGAGCCAGAGGGGTTGTCATCAAGTTCGAAGACGAGACACCTGTCGTTCAATTCAGAAGTGGTGAAATATATCACGCGAGATTTGAGAAATGGTCCATCAAGACAGCCTCTGGGGCATTCGTTCACAGAAAACAGGTGCCCCTGAAGCTCGCCTGGGCCTTTTCCATTCACAAGAGTCAGGGGTTGACCCTGGATTGTGTGGAGATGAGCCTGGCAAAGGTCTTCGATGCTGGACAGGCGTATGTTGCACTCTCCAGGGCCCAGAGCCTCGATTCACTCAGAGTCTTGGATTTTAATGGAAGGCAAGTGTGGGCTAATACTAGTGTTTTAGAATTTTACAAGAACTTCAGAAGACATCTTCATGAGATGGAACTCATTCCTCTTGGAAAAAAAACGAATGGCCAAATGAAGGCCCTTAGGAAACAATAGCGCTAATAGAACTGAACCCTGTCCGCGGGTATCATTTTTGTTCGTTCTCATTATTAGAATAATTTTCAATTTTTCTGAAACGATTTCTCTTAACGTCGTGCCTTGAAATGAAGCATTAGTCCAGAATTTTAAGAATTAAAAATGACTGAACTCGTAATATAGTAATAAATTTAAATTATTGAATAGTTCAAATAGTTTTTTAGATAGAATAATAAAGTTTCACGGAAGATCCGAGATTTTTCAAATGGGAACTCTTTTTCGAATAATAAAAATTGAAATTGACCCAATTATTATGAACAAAGATTAAAATGCAGTTAATTCTTGACGAATTCAACTGACAAATGATTAAGAAATGACAAACCGTTCGATCTAACTAATCGTGTCTTGCGTAATTGAAAAAATAGTCAATGTAAAGAATGTGAGATTTTGTAATATTAGATAATCACTTTGTTTTATAAACATTTTGACAGGCATTTATTGCGATTATATTTTCAATGAATAAAAAACAATACGAACATTAGGAGTCGTCTACAGCAATTTCAATCGGTGGTATATATCTCCAGATTCGCCCTGCATTTATGAAATCCGCGCAGACGCTGTTTGAATTGGAAATTGGTTTCTGACTACTGCATTGAATATCTATTTTGTACTGTCCAGCTGTGAAAAAAACCACGCGACATTCGTGGTAGGCCCTTCCATACTCCTGCAGCTGAAACAATAATTTATTCGTGATGATTATCAAAAATCAGGTCTCCAAATATTTATGAGAAATAATTTTACCGTTGGAAGCATGACTTTATTAGCCCCAGCGATTGATAATCTCGTATCTAATCGATAATTATTAACTCCGTTGTGATGATCCTGATAAAAATTAATTGATAAACTCAGGTCACTGAGAGGATGCTCCAGAGCATTGCAGACACCAACTCCTATGCTCACACACTCTCCTAGTCCACAAGTTATTTCGTCCTGAGGTTTAACTGCCGTATCATTGATGCTTACTTCCCACTGAAGTGGACTCATCCTCACGAGATCTAGCATGTCCTGGGTGAATGTAATTCCAGCAATGCCAGCCTTCCCAGTGGCATCAGTCCCCAGTAGCTGCCACTTGAGGTCCACCAGTCCAGCAATATGTTCAGCGCAGACATTCTGCAATCCCCTCTCGCTCATCGTGGCAAGTTTACTCAAAGGACACCTGTTCGCAGGCACTGGAATCCTGCACGACTCCCTTCCCTCCATATAAATGCACTTACTCTGGGTGTAATGCAGCTCCATCTCATGATTAGTCATATTGGTGACATCAAGAACGAGATAAAACTGCGAGGGAGTCTCAGCAGGTAGTACATCCCAACTGGTAATCTGCACACTCGGCAGCATCTCGATTGTGATAAAAACGCTGGATACTCTGCAGAAACCAGTGGCCAGGCCCTTCGCTCCTGAGTACTTGATCTTGAGCTGTCCCTCAGTTACATTGGACGCCACCACTGGAGTAGCTAATTTTGACAGCTTGGAGTTCCCTGAATTGGAAGAATTCGACGAGTGTGAGGTCAAGGCAGACCGCATGGAAGAGGTCAGTCCACTCTGCCTCTTGGTGTGATGAGAGGGTGTCCTCAGCCTCGATGGCAACGATTTGCTCCCACTGTTCCCCAGGGAGCCACCTAATGGGCTTCTTCCGAACGAATTACTCGTCTGTTTTGGTACGACGAAGTTCGTATCTGCGTAAAGATAGAGCGTGAGACTGGCTGAAGTGCCAGGCAATAGAGGCAACTGAGTCTTCAGGTTATCGTCGCTCCACTTGAAGACTCTGGACTCACTCAGACTGTCCAATGCCGATTTTATCGACACCTCGATCATCTCTATGGGTACTTGACCCACATTCGTTATGGTAATTGTGCACTCTGCGCTTTCACCCCCATAAAGAGAAATACTGGCACTCGTTACGATGTTCTCTCCAGACGAGAAGCTCGCTGTCTGGGGAAGACTAGTTGCCACATCGATCTTCGGAAGACTGGGGACAACCTCGACGGAGTAGTGTGGATGAGGCATGCCCTCCATACTCTTCAGCTTGCAATTGGATTTGACGCCGAGTGTGTGGGTACTGAATCCGAGGATTTCCAATTCACCAGTTTCCTTCGGAGTCCCTGCAAGAGTCACTGCTATAGGCCCAGAGTCAGCAGGTAACGTGATGCACTCTGGTACAGGATCAAAAACCACTCCACTGGTCAGTAATCTCATGTTGGAAACACTAAGCTCGAATGGAAGGGGATTGACTAGCTGGAGAGACACCTCGCAAACGTCGTCCTCGACCCAGAGATAATCGACTTTGCTTTTTGATTTATTTCTCCTCTCCAAGGATCCAAAGTTGATGGGGGTAAATAGAAAGGGCCCATGATCCTCTTTGATCCTCTCAATCTTTTGTGGCTGGAGGTGGGGCTGGAGATTCTTTAGAAGAAACGATCTCGTCCTCGGAATGTTTGTCAAATTAGCTGGGGGAATGACAATACCAGAGGGAAGATGCAAAGGAACTGGAGCACCCTCACATTGCTGTGCAACACTCTGCAGCTGGAGAGCAACGTCTCTACGTTCAGCTGGTGTCAAGTGATTGAACATTGTCTGGAGTAGGAAGGTCATGTGTCTGGTTGCCAGGGGGAGATTTCCCATCCTATTTGCAGCTGCTATGAGTTCATTGATTATTTTGATCTGAATGGCTGGCCAGCCTCGACTACCACTGGTGAGCAACTCCGCAGGATCCAGAGACAGCTTGAATCCTGAACAGGACTGCAGGACAAGATTGTAGCACTGCTGCCAGTCTGGATTGGGATTCTTCTGGGAAATGTGTCTGGTACCTGCAAGTCTCATACAGAATGAGGCCTTCCTGGCAAAGCCAATGGTGAAGAAGAGCTCTGAGAGCTTTGTAAATCTGGCGATCTTCTCCTGTTCACTCCAGTCGATGTTGTTGAAGACAACGTTATTGAGAAATGAGGCGGCCTCGAGGGTGTTATTCTGTTCTATGCAGACTCTAGTAGCTTTGAAGCTCGCCTCAGTCTCAATTATACTGGCATTTTGGTACTTGCTGTAGTGGGTGATCGCCTGGGAGTACTTTTTCGGTATCTCATTAGGAGGCACGATGTGATTCATTTGAACTTTGATCTCATCGAAAGACGGAGGAAAGGAAAGGGTTTTTTGTGAGTTTTCTTCTTGGGTGGAGGTGTGTCGTTGGTGGGAAAGACTCCTCCGGAGATTGGGATAGAGAATGAGGGAAGAGACTGCGCAGAGGCCCTCATAAGCTGCCCCCAGCCACAACCAGTCGTTCACACCCTGGAGAACACCTGCAGCTGAGGTGTAATGATTTAGAGCGTCGGCGTAGAGGCCCGCCTGGAGGCACAGATCCCCCAGGTGTTTTGCCATACGACCACAACATCTTTTTCGACTGTTTCGGGACTCAAGGTCCAGACCTATGAAGTCCTTTCTCTCGAAAGCTGCCAACAGCAGTGGCACTTGCTCAATTTTCTCTCGAGATATCTTGAGTCTTTTTGACTCGAGAACCCAGAAGAGGGATTCTAGACAGTGGATTACCTCTGCCTCCAGGGTGGGGCACTCGTCAGAGCCGTAGAAGGCGGCGGTCGTTTTAAAGTTCGAGGGTGTCGTGAAGTCCTGGGGTGGATTATTTGTTGTGGGAGAATCTACTGGACCAAGAAGAATTGCTCGCGAATTGTAGAGGGTTGTCATGTACTTTACCTTGAGAGTTTCGTGAATTCTGCACAATTCGTTCAACTCTGTCTGATCCTCATATTTTCCGAAAGTAATGAGTCCGACGAGTCTCCGGTGAGTCTGAAAATCCCCCCAGTCATTGTTCTCCACTGGATGATCCTTGACGAATCTCACTAGGATCTCACGAGAGGTATCAGGGATAGTCACTCTGCTAGCCCTTTTTATGATCCTCTCGCAGAGTTTATTCACTGTCTGCTGATCAATCTGGGAGCCAATTGGTCTCAGGAGCACCAGCAGAGCCGCATGATCATGCGTTATCTGCTCGTAATCAGGATGAGACATATTATCAGGTCTCGTTCCACAATTTATTCACCGAATCACCATTTCTATTGAATTACCAATGAGTTTTTGGTTTGAAAACGTTCCTCAGGCGTTTACCACGACACTGAACTTGAGGAAGCGATTTCCTTCGGCTTTTCTTTATCGCGAGGGCGTAATTAAGTGACAACAAACGTGAATAATGGTGACAGGCACAGCTGATTGTGTCCAGTGTTCTGACAGTGGTATGGGGGGAGTGCGCATGAGTGGGGACCTGACGTGTACTTCAACATAGCCTCAATCATTTTTGGAGAATCGTTTTTCAAGCGTTTATTCGGTTGCTGAGTGTTTTTTTTTATCTGGTAATATAACAGAAACAAATCAAGTAGACATTGCACGTATTACCTTCAAATATTTGTGGTGTGAGTGTAGGTATAAATATTTACAATACGAGGATATTGGATGCATTTGTTATTTTTTCGAAGTGGAATTTATTGTCAACTAACCATTGAATTCACGTAGACTCATCTCCAAAGTTATAATAAAGCTGTTAAAAATCTAAATAAATACGAAAACAAAACAAGAATTTTCTCCCTTAATCCTAAGGGCTGATCTAGCACCTAGGATCTTCGGAAGAGGAAAGTGACCTTTTTTCCAAAATTACATTGATTCATTAACCAATGGTTAATTTGACATATATTTGTGATCTAAATGATAATAAAGCTGACGGAAACTCGAAAAAAATACGAAAATAAACTTTTTTTTTCACTCCAGCCCCGGGGCCGATCACGATGTATAGGGGAACTGTAATCCAAAGTAATAAATAATGTACTATTAGTTGTTATCCTGATATAGCGAAAAGTTTCTGCTGATATAATACCATAAACTTTTCCGATGATTCCAGTTTGCAGTTGATGTTTGTAAGACAACGCAATAATGAACGATAATCCAGAGGATCCTCGGATGAACCCTTCTCTTTCAGACAACCAGGACGATGGAAATCTGCGTTGTGAATCTCCAAAACGTGGCACCACCCTTTCAACGAGTACAAGCAGCTTCGAAGCCCTAGACCCCCACGATCCCAACTTGAGTCGCCTGGCTAATGCTATGTTCCAGAAAACTGGAGAATACCTCCAGGAAGAATTGACAGCGACACATGCTGACTACCGCCTCCTGGAGCGATTGAACAAAGAGGCCATAGCCAAATACGCGGAACTAAAGACAATATCGTGTAACGTATCCCAATCCCTGGACACGTTGAATCAAAAATACAAGAAACTCCAGCCAGTGCTGGAGAACATCAATCAGATCGACGACAGTGTCGCCAAGTTAGAGCAGGCCGCGTACAAATTGGCTGCCTATTCCAAAAGATTAGAGGCCAAGTTCAAAGATCTCGAAAAAGAAAACAAAAATAAATGAAAATGAAAGATTTGTTTCGATCTTTGTCATTCCTCACTGGTTTAATTCGAATATGAGGGAGGCAGAGCAAAATTGACTCCCTCAATTCTTCGATTGCTACAGATTATAAGACATTATTTCTGGGCCTTACTCCCATTTTGCTACTTCTATTGTTCATGTTTATAAATGTGGAATCATTGTGTAAATACGTGCATTGGGAATTCGTATTGATTTGTAATGTACGTTTCACTCATATTTGAGAATTTATTTAAATTATTGTAATTTAGGTTTGATGATTTAGATTTGTCTGTAAATAAAATCTAGAGAAATGAAGAAGTTTTTATTTATCTAATTTTATTGGTTTTATGAGTGTTGTAATGAATTAGAAACTGTTCGAATATCTTGAGAGAGAATAGAAATGGAGGAAATTAGATAGAGGGAGAGAAGTGATTTATTTCGAAGAATATGACAAATCTTTTGTTTTCTTATTTTCTTTCAACTTTTTATTTGTTTCCTTTCATCAATTCTCACCCTATGAAGTCACCCGAATATTTCTGTATCCTTCTGAATGCAGAATTTTAGTTCTTGCTTTCTTGTCACTGCGCTGATGATTGATGAAGGAGTACAATTCTACTAATTAAACGGAATAAATCACCAGATCAATTGTTTCATCAATGCCCTAAGGTGTTTCCCGAATTATTCCCTCATGTTCAGAATATGATTAAAAAAAAACATCCAATCACTGATTAATCGGCACTTAATGAGAAAAAAAACGGAAAGAGGGAGAGTATATACAGACGAACTAGTCGAAAAGTTCGTGAAACCGTTGATCGTAAGTTACACCATTGCTTGTGTCAATCACAAACTGAAGTTTTTTCATTTTTTTTTCCTATCTTGTGTCAATGTTTTTGTTGTTTCTTGTGGTACCCTTTGAATTTTCTAACAGTCCAAGAAGTTGCCTGCCATTAGTAGCTCCAGAGCAATCTCAGGGGCGATGGGGAACTCTGGTATTTCAGTGCTGCTATTTGTATAACGTACTTTGTAGGTGAAGTACATGCAGACCTTCTGTAATACGTGCGACCTGTCAGAGAATAAATTAATTAATGGAGTAAAAAACGATGGAAAATATGTGGACAATAAGTCTAAAATACTTACGGGATTTCTCTGAAATTCACTTCATTTGCTTCGTTTTCAGCAAACTGACCGGGTCCACTGAGCATAGCCTTGATAGTTCCACTGGTGAGAGCATGTTCCCTTTTTACGATAAATTCATGTCCATCACTGCTCACCAGTTTCACATACATCGCATCAGGCCCCTCGCAACCTCCATAAACGGGTCCAGACTCCTGCTGTAAGTTCCCAAAAATAAGTAGCACTTGAAGCCCCAAAGAACTGAAGCTTCAACAGATAAGTCCTCCGAGAAAATTCCCTTGAGATCAATTTTCAACTCTCAAACATTTCCAAAAAGACGTGCCAACTTTGATTTCATTAGTTTTGACTTTTGAAATATTTTAAAAACGAGTGATTCAAGTTGAAAATATTTTGCAGTTGAAAAAATATCATCACAGAAACCCTTTGATTAAGCTGAAGGGAATGCTCTTAAGCCCATTAAAAAGCCTTCAGATCGTGGAATGAAATTTATTATGGAAGGCGCAGAAAGTTGTGATTTTCATATTGGATATTTAAAGATAAAAATACCTCTGCATGAAAATTCACAAAAATCAGTCAAAAGCTCAAAAATAATAGCAGAATGAAAATTGGTTAGGTAGATACCGCATGCAGGTCATTGGGTGATTTGCCATCCTCATCTCCTTTACTATCATTCTGCTCACCGAATTCTTTGGGCTTGAATGTAAAAGAGGACATTTTGTTATTGAAAAAAATAGTTAAATAATAAGCGAGCTAAATAAATTATAAAATCAGTATATCCACATAAAAATTGATAAATCGATGCCATTACAGAGCATGGATTCTTCAAAATTCTTTATTAACCCTAGCATGCGACAGAAGTATCTCTCTAATAATCAGACTAATTGAATTACCTTCTCGGCGTGCATATTTGTGTCCCCTGACATTTCTTGTCAAGCGATTTGGAACGTCACCCTGGTAATGACAAGAATTTTATAACAACGTCTGGGTGAGAGACCCTATTTATGATTTACCTCGAGAGAATTTGTCTGATAAATTAATTATGGTAATCGGAACTGAAGTATCCAGATCTTGGGTGTATAAAATTGGAAAATGACTACTGTGAATCACAAAATCACAAGGAATCAAGGAATCTTGTGGTGAACATAGATCATTGCACGGGGAAGATGGACGATAGTCTATTGTCTTTATGGACGCACAAAAATTGTGTGAGTGCTGGTAATAAGTGGTACATAGAGAAATCTAGATGTTCTGCTGGGATAACTCTGGGTTCTCATCATCGCCGACAGAGTGTTGGCACTAGGTGTGTCTTACTAAAGAGAAATTTTAATCCCCCCGTCCTCTCTCGACAGATATGCCGGTGATTGGTGACATTGTTGATACTTTTTGGAGTCAGTCAGCTGTTACCCATGACTGAGAGAGTAAATTGACTGTTGGAAATGGCATCTCGAGGACACGAGAGTAAACAATCTCATGTGCTGTTGCCGGTGCTGCTGAGTGCATTTGCATTACCTATTTCTATGTTATTCTGGATTGTTAATGTTATTTATTCAATTATCACGCCTGAGGCTGATTACCACTTGAGTGAACGTGAGTACTAATGTGACCCAAATTTAAACGTCAATGCTCCAAGAATACCTGAGTAAAAGACGAAATATTTTTGTTCATCGTGGAGATTTTTTTTGCACCTCAAAATGAAACCTCACTCGCTCAATTCGCATTGCTTAATCGGGAGATAACGATGACTCAACGAAACTCGTTTGGGGGAATTTGATAATAATATTTTGGGTGCAGATTATCCAGTGATATCACCTTGGCGATGGCTGCTGGCTGTTATTTTTCCCATTCTTTTCGCCATTTGGGGAGTCAAGAGACGAAGTTTGGATTTAAGTGGTGCTATGCTGGGTATTTATTGAGTTTAATTGCATTTTCCCAATATCCAGAATGTTTTTTTTTTAATTGATTTTGGTTCATTCTCCAGGACTCCTCATGGGATTCATATTGACCTTGACGAATTACGCCCACTTGGCGTGTCTCATCAGCTTCTTCGTGTCTTCGTCCTTAGCCACAAAATTTCGAGCTGAGAAGAAAAGAAGAGTTGAAGCTGATTTTAAGGAAGGTGGACAGAGAAATTGGATCCAAGTATTGTGTAATGGGGGCATGGCCTCGCAGCTCGCTCTGTTATATTTGCTGGACGTGGGATGTGGTGAGAGACCTATAGACTTCGATAAGGATTACAGGAGCTCTTGGCTGTCCACCGGAATTCTAGGTGAATTATTCTCTAGTTCCTAGATCGCTTCATTCCAATTAGGTGACTTTCATTGCATTTTCTCTGTCCAGGGGCTTTTGCCTGTTGCAATGGAGACACTTGGGCTTCGGAGTTCGGGACAGCTGTGGGGAATTCTGATCCCTTCTTAATAACTTCGAGAAAACGAGTTCCTAGAGGTAAACTGAATCAGAATTACGAAAATCGTTATATCTGAGGGAGATACCGAAATTTTTCAAGGACCTTTTATGTAGAATGGATTGAGGTCTACGAAAGAGTTTTTGATTGAAATTTTGATATTCCCTTTAGATTCAGAGATATTTGTTGGAGAGCATTGTTCAAATAATTGCTCAAATATTGCTGCCCTCAGGAACAAATGGAGCTGTTTCGTGGGTAGGTCTTCTTATGTCTCTTCTTGGTGGCCTTCTAGTGGGACTTTTCCACTACTTCACTGTCCTTTACACAGTAGATGTCGCAGTTCTAGAGCATGCAGTCTCCCAATGGCCCATCATCGTGGTAGGCGGTGCTGGAGGCTTCTTCGGAAGCATTTTCGACTCCCTTCTGGGTGCCACTCTTCAATACTCAGGTAACGCAAGTGAAAAAAATCGATAGCAAACTATAAAAATTTTTCTACGAAGGCCTATTAAATTTTTGAGTTTTATTCAATTGATGCTTCCAGAAATTCTATTCATTTTTTAAGTTAGCCATTGGTATTTCAACTTTTTAGGGAAGGAAATTTATCATGTTCATTTTTCAAGAGATATCTTCAATTTATTTCTGCCATGGATTGTTTGTTGGTTATCTATAAGACGCTAAATACCTGCAATTTATGTTCCTTATTTCTTTATCTTCCAGGGATTAACGAGGAGGGAAAAATAGTGGAACACCCTGGAAGAGGCGTGAAACACATCTGCGGAAGACAAATTCTCGATAACCACAGCGTAAATCTTCTCTCGAGCATCGCTATTGCATTAATGCTCCCGAGACTCGCAAATTGCCTGTGGCCGTAATTAGAGTTGAAATTCTAATGCTCATTAACATGTGCATCAATATTTATTATCGACAGCTTTATGTTTTTGTTTATTAATTCGTACTGAGGTATGTTGATTTTCCAGTGATTTTTTTACGTTGCATCAATTAAGTGGTGAATGAATAAATATATATTTTTATAAGACACTTACCAGACTTATTATCTCTTAATGACAATGAATGAGTGAAATTCGGAGAATTTCCACAGATAAATATTAAGTTTATTCAGTTCTACATTTTTCATACACGTCGATTAAATTTTCACCATAAATTCTCCAATTAAATCTAATAATCAACAGTCATAAACTTTTATACATTGTTAGTTTAGTGATAAATGATTTCCCTCTGCTCTCCTATGTTAATACGTATTTAAAATAATTTTTATTCTCTCTTGTAAGTACATTTTCCTTGTCTTGAAAAATATAAACTAGGCATTGTAAATTATTGGACGATCAACTCACGCACAATTTAGTTGTTATATCACTTTACGTATAAAAATTATTCCCGGAAACTTATTCGTTAGAATTTCGTAAGTCCATGCGCGGTGGAAATTTAATAGGAACCCAATCATTATACAGTATCACTAGTCATATCAGTGCATAAATTTACAGGGAAATCCTTAACAAAGGAAATTGGTAACTCAATGCTCTAATTTGGAGTTGAGCAATTTGCGTGAAAATAAAATGAAGACGAGACTAAGCAAATGATTGAGAAATCATCTAATTGTTGCGATCGTTATTAATTCGTTGTTGCGGTAAATGAATGCAGTGACCAGAAGTCATCGAGACTATCCAAGTGGGGAAAAGCTTTCGATGTAATATCACTTTACAAAATTTACCGTAGAAATTATATCGAAGGAGGGAATAAGTCGATAAGTTACACGTTTTTCCTTGATTGACAGCTCGGTAGTTCATTAGTGGAGGAGAATCCCTCGGGGATTAAAGTATCCCGAAGGGAGTTTTGTAAATTTTGAAGAAATTTATTGTTAATTCTGAAATCTGATCATTTTCAATGGATAATTTTTCCATTGCAAACGAATTTCCGCAGAATAACTCACGTGGAGTCTATTGCAGTCATATTTCTCATTCATTGAAAATTTATTGTATGAAAAAAAAATTAATTAAAATTTGAAAAAAGATGTAGCACAATAAGTACCCGTTAATTTTTTCGAAATTCGATTTCTACCTAGGTAATTCGAAGAAATGATTGAATATTCAATTATGTAAATAATTTTATGGATGAACTGTAGTTGAATTAAAAAAAAATTGCAGCCCTAAAATTAAAGGGACTATTTTCAGGATTTGAAATTGAAAATAAAAGTGCAGCATAACTATTGCGCGTTAATTTGTTTGAAAATCGACTTATGCACAGGTAATTCGGAAAACTGATTCGATACTCAATTAATTGATTTATTTTATGAATGAACAACAGTTATGTTTTTAAAAAATGTTACAACTGGAAAATTGAAGGGACTATTTCCAGGATTCAAATCGTGTATCGGAAGGAGAAATTTCACAGGAATAACCCAGGACTTTTAAAAGTCATAGCTCCTCTCAATACTTATGGAATGACTTGACGTGAAATTCTCCGAGAGTTTTTCCCCCTAGTACCGAGCTGTGTGGTCCTCGATAAAACAAGAGCCCATCAGCACGCATGATACTGGTTGATGATGAGTAAAGGCCCATCAGCATCACACCTCGCTCCCTCAGCAATAATGTCACGTTTCTCGTTGTCCTTTTCCTTTTCCGGAGTGGAAATATCCTTTTGATAGTCACACCTTCTCCTCTCCCGCCACCGGACCTGCGGTCGAGCGTACAAACTGAAACAGTCAACATCCCACAATGGACTTGACTCGGACTCTGCCATTGGCACGATACGGACTTCAATGAATTTATCTGTGCTGTACGGGGAATTTTCGTGATTAACTCATTTGAATGTAAATCGATGTGCCGCATCATTGGGTGGTTCAATCATTATCCGTATCGCACCAGTGACCAATCTGGTATCGATTTTCAGTGGATCAGGTGCCAGGGGACGACTGTACAAAAATTTTACAGCAAGACCTCCGAGGTTTCCATTTCAAATTCGATTCCATTCATTTCTGTGGAACTTTGTAGAAACGATTCGATATTTCTTTTTAATGGGGGAACGAATAAAATTATATAATATGATAGAATTATAATAGAAGTTTAAGAGAATTTTTATAGAGTTTCAATAGATGTTTGATAAAATTTCTTGGATGGAGTTTTCAAGGATTTTTTTTCAGGAAGTGTTTGTTATTTAGAGATTGGGAAATGTCTGACTGGTGATGGGATTTTTCACTGGTTTTGTTATCAAGTCGCGGGGGAATGGGGCAATTTCGGGGGTAGAGATAGTGACTCGACACTAGGTGTAATGCGAGGGGTGGATTTCCTACCGAGACTGTGGTTGCTGTGCATGAGTTGGCGCGTTTTCTCATGAATGCCGAGCCCTCCCATTTGCGTTTAAACTGCGCGATCACCTGGAACACGTCCAATCCAATTATCATAAATCGTAATTGATTGAGGGGTGGCTGGAGGGAAAATAGAAATTGGAATTGGCGGGGAGAGCAAAAGTCTTGGGCAGGAATTCACTTTTCAATAGAATCACTTCAGTCATTATATTGAAAAATCCAACCCAAATTTTTTACTAATTATATCGATGTTTCTCGAAAACTATCGATCCAGGTAAAAATACTATGAGACTTTTTTGTAACTGATTCAATTTCCGATAAAAAAGGTTTTCTCGTATTTTTTCATATATCAATAGTTTTCCAGATAATCCAGATTCAATAAATCGATAAAATAAAAATTATTTTACTTTATCGTTCGAATTTATCTGAATTTTTGGTAAATACTTCAAAATTTATGGGAGATAACGAAATTTTTGTTAAAACCTTTCGGGTCGCTCTCAATTAGCTCTACAATAAAGGTCATGACGAAAATTTCGATGGCAGCCGTAAATTCGGAGATATTCCTGGAAAACTGGTCAACAGTAAAAATAGACTTAGAGTGTTTTATCGTTCCGCTACTGAATAGTCAAATAAAAATTTCCACTGAAGGCTTATTAAAAGCTTTTATGCGCTTCACTTTCTTGTTTTATTCAAAACCCAGAAGAGAGAATTATCAGCGCCAAATAATTACGTGAAATGGATAATGTGAGCAGAATATGCGGGACGTTTAGAGGGCATTTTCACAAAGAAATTTTCACGGTAGAAATATGTTTAATTACCTCGCCATTGAAGAAGCAGAACAGAACAGCAACACAGAGGCCCTGGGGAAAACAATAAATAGTGATTCAGTCGGCGCATAAACATTCGAAAATAACAAAATTAAATGGATGAGCGATTGCCCTAGGGATTATTTCGTGCGTAAAAAATAATGCCACGATTTTCATCGCCATTAAGGGTGATCAAATCACGTAAAAATATTGTTCCTGTCTATCCAACAGTGCCAGATACTCCGGAGAGTTTCTCATCCTATGGAAAGTCACAAGTCCCCTCTGAAGTGTAACTTCGCCTCGAGCCCTCGCTCAGCTCATTTGCAACGCTTGAACAAATTGGAAAAGCGTATTTCCCCCAGAGTGTCGTGAGACAGAAATTATACTTCGAACTTGCGACTGTTGAAAAGTTTGTCCTTTAAGTATATCCAAGTACATTCTATCGTTCAGCACCAGTCTACCGTAGATTCTGACGTTTTCAATGATCAAAATTCTTGAGTAACTTGCATTACAAAATTCAAATATACATGCCATTACAATTGGAATTTGCCACAGGTGAATTTATGTAATAATTTCAAATTAAATTATTGAAAGAAGAAATCTCAAAAGAAGTGGGGTCAGCTCGATGATGTGAAGATTGTATTTGTAAAACACTCTGGTCAAAGCAGGATGCATCCATGGAGTCTAGTCAAGATGACGATGGAGATCAGTTATAATATTCCCAATTACATCGTGAGACTGGAGCCGCGAAGGGCAAGTCTACACATCAACGCAGTGAATAAGATATCCCGGTATATGTTGGAGGTATTGATGTTGAAAGCTGACCACTGGCCGAGGCTGCGCCTACTGGAGGAATTCAGGCACATCATAAATGATAACCCATTTATATGGGCCAGGTTGGTGATGAAGGCAACTTGAAGGAAGCGGATTGTGGAGAAGTAATAGAGAATCTCTGGAGGGACCCGCAGAACAAAGATAACACTGAAAAGCTGAGGAACGTGGGTGAACTTTTCCGGGGGATGGAAAGGGAGAGAGACATGAGGAAAGCAGAGGCGTCGTCTTTCTGTAGCTGGTACCTGGACTGGCTCTGCTCTAATCCGAGACTGTCGCAAGACGACGAGCGACGATACTTCTACTGAGAGGACTTTGAAATACCGGGAAAGGTGAAGGAGCAATGGGCCAGATTACGTTGCAGAAACGTGGGACGGTAGGGCAAAAAAGGTTTCTCCGACACGTTCTGCACACTATGTGGACAGGAGCAAATACCTTTCTTGCATGTGTGGGAGTATGAGGGAGCTATGACGCTCATCGACGACGAATGGATTGAACCCTTAAGGTCGTGGAGGGCTGAGGACCGAGGGGACTATCTCAGAAGAACATTAGTAATCGCGCACTCAGAACGCTAACAGACTTCGCATGGCACTTCATGCGGATAGACCAAAGTATGGCCTTAGCATCCAAGGGATGCCTAGAAGAGATAACCACGCTAAAAGCTGCCGAAGCACTGTGGAAGTAACGAGAGAAAAATTTGAAAAATTTGACGTGTTATTTTTGTTTTTTCGTAGGATAGAAATTACTGAGATTATATCTTTTTGTTTTGGTCATCTCTTGTACATAAATTTTACAACTGCTGTGATGGTCTGGAAACATATGTAAAGACCCAAATCGGCTATGTATGGATAAATAAATAATAACAATAATTGAATAATGAAATCTGTTGGCAGAAAAATATTCAAACAAAAATTAAATATCGAATGTCAAGAGTGAAAACGCAGGAGGCAATAATTAATTTTATCGGATGATTTGAATTCAATTGAATATAGTTATAGTCGAGTAACATTAAGTGGAATAATAATTTTTAGTAGAAAGTTCATAGTTGCTGCCATTGTTTATTATCAAATTCAGTCACTTGTATTATAAGATAAAAAAAATGAATTTACAATTACAATTCGGATTGATCACAAGAGTAACAAGAAAATTGACATAATAATATCCAATCACGGAATTGAAAGAAGAATTTATTTAGTAACAAAATATTCGAACAAATTAAATGTGAAATATGCGGAGTGAAAATACGGTTGCAATTCATTTGTTTAGATGATTTGAATTACAATCATTTCAATAGTAATTGTTAACATATTATTATTATTATTATTATTATTATTCCATGTATATCCGATTGGGGTTTTTACATTGTATTTGCGGTAGCATGGGCCCGACTTCCTCTGCAACCGTGGCGCATGTGCCCCAGGAGCTCTACGCCATCCGCAGACTCTCCTGGTGACTAAGGAAAACCATGGAAAATGAAGCCAGCTTCATCGGGAAATAATATCTCTTGATGATTCTAGGTGTCTAGACTCTCGTTCGGTGGCTTCCGAGAGATGAATATTCTAATGCCCTAACCCGGACTCGAACCCGCGGCCTCACGGGTGCCATGGTCCGGTCAAACGATTTAACCAATTCAACCACCGCCATCGGCCGTAATTGTTAATATAAATATAATATAAATTGTTGAGTAGCATATCAATTTTTGGTGAAAATTTCTGGGTTTTCTGAGGGTTTTCCGGAAACTAATCCGAGGGAGAAATTGAAGCATTATTTTTTATTCTTTGATTCTCTTGAGAGTAATGACTTTTTAAAGAGTAACTGACCTGAAATGAGGCAGTAATCGCTGATATGATCTCGTAAGACTGCGCCCAGGCATGATCTTTGGGTGGTCGAAATGGTGTAAGTAAATAGTGGAGACCCAGCAGTGGAACGAGCAGAAAAGTTGCCCTGTAATAAAAAAATGGTTGATTTATTCCTAAATATAGTAAAATGAAAGGGGAGAGATCTCTCCGTGCACAGAAAGTTGTTCGCAGCTTAAACTTTAGAATCCGATTGGCCTCAGTTTCTTCACAATTGAATTCATATTTGCAGTACACAAAGCTCAGTTCGCTCAGTGAAATCTATCAGAAGTTCTTGGTTTTTATCAGCTGCGTTGTGCCCGCTGTCTCCACCAGAACTTTTCAGAATTACGTTATTACAAAGTTTGGCTTTGGTTTACCGGAAAGCTTGGAGCATCGAGCGAGATGGTTGACTTCCAATGGCTGGACCAGCTCTCAGCTTTGAACAAAGAACCCGAACGATGTTGAAGAGGAAGAGAAGATTGAGCAGAGTTGACACGCAAACAGGGTACACCAGGACGTTGATGTAGTTACCCTCGTCAATCCAGCATCTGTGGACAGGAATTTACCCTCAGCACTGGTTAAATAAAAGGCCAATTCACTGGAAAATACGGAGCGAGGGTCATTTCCTCTGGAGTCTCACTAGTGAAAAAAATTTCTCAATTTTCCGGAAAATTGCTCTTCGCTTTTTTATGATGTTTAAGTGTTTAAATACTTCAGCTATTTTTCCAGTGAAACGTTTCTCTAATTTCGCAGTTTAAATCCCTTAGTAATAAAATCCCTTAATTTAATACGTCAATACTTGCATTTTTTTATTTTTTTTTCCAACGAAATGCGAAGAAAACTTTTCATTAAAACGGGATTTTTGAAAATTATTCAAGAAAATTTGAATTTGAATGATTTTATTTTAGGTTTTATTTGATTTTTTGTTACTTTCGCTTTCTACAGTGAATTCTGATGAAAGATGACGCCTGCACATGAATAACTGTATCTACTGCACTCACTCCGGGTAAATTGCTTTACCCATCCGTTGATAGACAAGTTCAACGATCAATTCGTGGAGATACAGGCCGATACACCGGCTGCTGGGATCGAAATTGTGGCTTGGTTCATTGAATCAGCAATTATCGGCTCATGAAACTCCAACCACTATTCAAAACTTCATACCTTCGTTGCGCTGGAATTTTTATGTGAGATGTTCTTCAAGCATAAATTACTTTCAGGATAATCTGAGAAAATTCTCGAAGGGGCTTTCTCATTTTTCATTCCATTTCAGAAACTCCTTGTGAGACCGAGGATCGTGGAGGAAAAAATTAAATTCTCTTTAAATTTTCAGGAAGTTACCCCTAATTTGGCCTATAGTTCCTACTGGGAGAAATACAATCGATTATTGCATTGCATTTAAGAAATAAACTAAAGGAAATTGAGAATTTCTAATTAGAAAAAATTAAGAGCCTTACATAAAAATTGGAAATATTAGAAATTGATTTTTTTTTAATTAATGAATTAAAAATGAATAATTAATCGTGAAAAAATAATCCTGAGCAGAGAACGAATGAAATTCAATTTTCTTCAATTGAGGCCGTTAAACTTTACCGTAAAATTTCCATTACGGGAAAATTTCTTCAATAATTCCATTTTGATCAACAAATAAATGAAATAAAGTGGAGAAATTCTCTATAAAAAAAAATGAAGACTCGCTTAAATAAAATGATGAAATTTCACGAATTGAATAAAAAATGTATAAATCAAATAAATTAAAACGTATAATTTTGGTGAATTTTTAGAGTTAATTAGGGAGAAATAATTATTGTGAAAGAAAAAAAACGGAAAGCAGGATATCTGGGATATCTGTAATCTGTTGGTAAGAACTCGTCGATTATTGTGCATCACCCCGTTATCTAATTCCTCGTTCAATCACTCGGTTAATCAGAAACCTCGGTTTCCTCCGGGTCTGGCAGTACACAAGGTCCAACGAACAATGAATTCAATTCAATTCCCTTCACGAGCAGGTTTCTTGTTCCTAGGGGCAGCAAAGGTAAAAGAAAACAGGAGAGTCTTCGGGGGTTTCATTACTGAGAGTGGATTGAGTGGGAGCTGAATAAATCGGGGAGAGGCTTCCGAAACCTCATGCAGTTTTTCCTATGCATGAGTGCGGGTGTTGTTCAGAGATAACTGCCAGTGCTGGAGGGCCTGGAGATGATAAACGTCATTCGACCCTATTTACCGTTGGGAAATTTCGGTGAACTGAATACTCTCGGATTTTAATTAATCGCCCATTCACTAATAGATGTTTCAATTCTCATTCAAAATTAATGTAACAATTTACTCCATCTAATAAAATAAAACTACTTGTTGATCAATTGTTGGTTCATAGAGAGATAGGCACACAATTAATTGATTTTTATTATCTTATTTTTATATTATTTTATTTCCATTAAATTTCATTAATTGAGTCCAATGTACTCATACTCATATCCATTCATAATAGAATGAAAAAGCACGCATGAAGACTATATTGAATATATCCTGACAAATTGAATTTATCAAATAACTTTTTTTGCATGATGACCAGCAAAAACTAGTTTTATTAAATTTTTCAACACATGTGTTTGTGTTTTGAATTAAATTTCGTGGCGGAACGTTGACGTTTGCTATTAAAAACCACTCTGTGTAAAATTGCTGAAAGAGTAGGAAGTGACTTGAGCATTTGGCTGGAGGGAGTAAAATAGATGGGAGCGATTAAGACATCAAAAATGAGGACATAAAACAATGTATATGCGTGACTTGCAAACACAGTGTTTCATAGTTTGAATGGGTGAGGGGGGGATAAAAGCATGCCAATAAGCTAGTCCCTGAGGAGTTGAGCCCCTTCGTCAGGGTGAAAATGTACATAAACCAGGAGTTATGTTTCTCGGCACATAGTTGGAAGTATATGCCTGCATGTAAGTTGCAGAGCAGTTTGAAATTCCTCGTGAAACTGCCAGGCTGTTTTCAATGGGGTCTCTGAGTTATCGTGTCGTGTCACTCTCTGTATCACTTGGGCCATTCAAATGGACTGAGAAAAAAAATTCAAACCAGGGAAAAATCTTGTGACCAAGTAATCGCATGAGATTCAATAGAATTGCATTCACTCTGCTGATGGTAACTTCTTGGGAAACTCACAAGAGCCAGACAAACATCGATCAGTCACGTAGAAACGTCAACGATAAATATTATTCACCCCGAGTTCATTGATTTTCATAATTCCGCGGTGAACTGGAATCGAGTGATAACATTTGCCAATATTTTGAAATAATGTTTACATTTCAAATTTTCGATCCCTCAATTCTCTCGGTCCAAAATCAGTTTAATTACTTAAACGTGATGCGCTTTTTCTGCAATAAGAGTGTCATAACGTAAAATAATATAGAATTATTTGCATTTCAATTATCATATTTTAATTATTTCTGTTATATTAAAATATTAAACCATAATTCTCTGTTAATCCTGAAAATCTTATATTCCTCATTTCATTAATGGAAAACAAATATATTATTTGAAATAAAATTCAGAATTACACTGAAAAATTGAGATATATAATATAATCCTTACATAGCTTATTATGCTTGTAATGCAATGAATTCTAGCTTCACAAATAGTCGATCTCTGTGTGAGTTTTTGCGGTTGGACATTGATCTGTTTTTTTTTTCATTGAGAATGACTATTTTTAAAAAGAATATTGATACTCACTGTGAATTATCCTTAGGGTCGTCGCTAGTTGCCCTCAATGTTGCATAAACCACGACGAAAACAGCTGGTGCTGGCCATCCAATGCCCATCAACCACTTGACTAAATTATGCTCACTGGTAAACGCACTGACAAGTAGCGTATGAAGATATAAACCCTCGCACAACATCCAGGCGTAATTTGTAAGGAGGAAATAGTGGAGTATCACGTGTACCAAACGACAGAGAATCTACAACCAGAGAGTAATCGTTAAATGCTGACTTTTCCCTCTTACAACTCTTCATTTTCATTTTAACTTGATAAATTATTTACCCCATTTTCCATGAGAAGTTCAGCATTAGCTGCAATTAATCCATACCAAATCAGCCAGAGGGTGTTATTAACGGCGAATGATGCGAATAAATTCATATGAAGAGTTATTCTCGCGCATCTCAGAGATCTGTACCAATTATTCGTTAATATAATTAATAATTACACCCATACTTGCTTGGCGGATTAATGGAATTGAGAAATAAACTTTTAATAAAACAGCAAAATGAATTTGAGGTAAAAAATTGGCGAAAATCCATAAAGGATTGAAAACCCATTTTTTTTTGTATATTGTTCATTATTTACTCTCGCTGCGTGTACGTGGGATTGAGTGAATCCTCTCGTGCAATTGTTTTCATAAATTGAAAAAAATGATTCTTGAAAAAAAATGGTGACCTTTACCTAAAATAGGTGAGAATGCCCAGAGAGAGGATCAGTGCAATCAGCGAAATAGTGTATCCGGTTTTATAGATGACATTGATCGCCTGTTGCCACTGGAAGACGATAATAGAAGTGTGCAATATGAATCATTTGAATTTGTCACGTGGTTAATATATCATTCAATGAAAATGCAAATTCAAATTACAAGTACACGAGGAGGTGAGATTAGGTGACACTCTGTGGGGCGTTGTGGGATTATTTAATAATTCATGAGACATGAGAGCAAGATGCGTCAATGTGTAATTCCCGGGTTGTACGAGCAGTCTCTGCGAATTTAAATGCATTATGGCATTAATCCATACGTGGAAAGCTGAGTTTCTAACACGATCCTGGGATATTTAGCGATGTACCTCGGAGTCAGGGGATTCACCTTGTAGTGGGAATTATGCACCTGCTCTGGATTCTCATAATTTATTGAAAAATGGCACTATTTCTCTAGTAAATTCTCTTCAAATTATTATTATTAATTATTTTGCAGCTATTGTAATTCTATTGGAATATTCTTCGCTGTCTCGTAGCTTTTTATTCATACAATTGTTTTGTCAAATATCTCTATTTTTACTTTTTCTTTCATAAAACAATTGAAAGAATGAAATTTAAAAAATTTAACTCTTCCAATTTTGATAGCAAAAATCCCGATGTAATAGATGGAAAAATTGAAAGCTATCTTTCTACTAATTGATGGATAATTTTTTTCAATTCAAGGGCGTTTAAAAAAAAAACATAAATCTTATCTGCAAATAAGTACCAAAAAATCGAAATAAGGCTTAATTAATTGTTTTAGAATAATTATTTTTGGTATAATAAAATAAATCTTGGTATAATAAAATAAAAAATAAGAGTCAATTTAATGATTCACGTTGCTTCAATATTTGCTAGAACAAACAATAAATAAAGGACTAGATTCGAAGTATAAGCCCGTTTTTTTAGGATGTGGTATATTCTAGCCACGAAGTGTATTTTCAGCTGACGCCAATATGATCCTAGGGGGGAAATGAAGATAGAGATAACAAGATCATCGTAGTTCATTCACGTAGACACTCATAACACGTACAACGTCTCAAGTAATAAAACCCCATCACCAAGGATTCAATAGCCAGGAATGGAGTTGATCGTGATAGAGCAGCCGGAAATTAAAGGCTTAGATTCAGGAGATCCTCACCAGGATAATCCACCGATTAACAATTGATAACGGAGTATAAACTCTCAATGAGGATTTTCGGGATTAACGAGAAGCGGAAATCTGATTTTCAAGTCAGCAAAATATCCATCAACCTCTGGTGTTTCGCCGTACATCCGATTTTCATTACAATACGTCCGGGTGGTTGTCGGACATTGGTCTACCCTGGGGCCATTACTCTTCTCTGTGGGTTGTTACACCTTTTGTACTTGATGTATGGAGTTAGGTATACACTGGTACCTTACCACTGTCACGATACATCTTGGGGATTTAGAATATTAAACCGGAAAATCGCTTCTACTCTTGGGAAATTCTGCTCTTCCCCCGAGGAAACACTGGTTCCGATATTTTTTCAGAGTTATGCCTTCAATTAAAACGCTCATCCTTATATTTGAAGACGTTTTTTTAAATAACAATAGACTATTGGAATTATTTTTATAATATGGTAAAGAAGTTAATTCGATATACGACTGGGTGCCAGAGTGTTTATATGATCTTTCTTAATCTAAAATTATTTTTAAAAAATGAAATGAAATAAATTTAGTCTGAAAGACATTTTTTACAACAATTCGTCACCGATTTCTTTCTATCGATCTCAGTCTCTCGGGGAGTACCGTCCGAGAAAGATCCTTCCATTCAGTAAAATTAGTTGAAATATATAAAATATAATGATGTGTATAAACAATAAGTTTACTTAAATGTAATGGAAAGTGATCCATAAATTAATTAACGAATTTCATTCATTAAATTATCCATTTAGACAAATAATTCGATGTAAACTCGAGAAAAATTATTGTCAGATCCCATTTATTATTATTATTTCTTTGATTAAAAATTGCGATCAACTCCGTGTAGTGCAACAGTAAAATTCAATCAATAATTAATCAATTGAACTTTCTCTCCTTTTCCCAGTGTTTTAAATGGTTCCCAACGGAGAAGAATAACATAAAACAAAATGTATAAATGTATGTATAAAACGGAATACTGAAAGTAAAAAAGTAAAGAATGGGCGTATGACCTGAATGGAAATTTAATAAAACAGCTTTATTAATGTTGAACTGAAATAAGGTTAGCGGAATTCATATCAACCCAGAATTTACATGAAATAATGACCCTCCGGAGGTCGATATCATCGAACCCTAACAACCTGTGTGCAACCTTGCTACACAATCTGACTGACAGCCCAGGGATAACGTTCTGTCCCCCGATAAGCTTTATCCAGCGTGTAATTCAAATATCTGCATAATAATACCCGACAGAAATATCGATGGGCTAGTGTTATGACAAAGCCCCTGTCAGGTACGTTGTCACTGAAATTTCTTCAAACTTCACTCACAATGTCGTTTCAAATTTCTATTCTGAGAGTTCAAATCCAATTTCACTTAAACACGTTCATTAATTTGTTCATTCATTTAGGGAAATGTGACATTTCGTGTTGAACAATCTTTCATTTTTCCGTCAAACCCGAAATTTTCAGTCATCTGTGATACCCTGCGTGGGAAGTTCTTATAATTATTGTAGATTCAAGGCTCGAAGGACAAATCTCAACTATAGTTTATAGATATTCAAGTTGAGAATCTATTACTTTTACTATGTCATTTGATTGATTATAATCATTGCCTGGTGGCCTGTGTGCAGTGGTTAAGGTCGTTGTCTTACAACGGATAGGTTCCAGGTTCGATTCCTGGCCAGGTAGACTGGTGAGATCTAACCAGGCTCAAAAAGTCTTTATCAATCACCACATGGTCTCCTCCAACTCGAAGCGATGTAAAATAAAAAAAAAACAAAATTACAATGATTACGACTAATACACGTTGGAATCCGATTTGGGTCTGCCTTCTCCATACCCAATCGACCTTTTAAATAAATAATACATAATTGTTTGTCTCGTCACTTGGTCAACAATATCCGATTGTTCAAGATCTGAGACATACTGCATGGACTGAATTTTTAATAGATGTTTTATTTTAATAAAATATTTGGTTAGGATACTTACGTTGTAATCTTCTATGTCTATGCAAGTCGTGTAGTTGCTCCATATCTGGTTCGAGTCCGGATGTCGAAACCACGAACCATTGGCTTCACAAATTTTGTGGGCATACACTGTAATGAGAATTAACCGATTTTTATTTTTTCAATAACAACAATAAATGAACTTTTTATCACACGATCCCAGGGGTTTGAATTTTTATAAACATATAATAAACAAACTGCGAAAACTTAGTGATTAAAACTATCGAAAAAAGACTCATTTGTATGGATGTATGTCAAGCATAAAAAAATTATATTATAAACAATTGCTTGTAATTTACTGGCTAAAGGCCTTCGGGCAATAGCCAGTTGAATTTTTTAACGAATTGTGTTGAAATATAACAAAATATTATATAAAATAAATATTCATATGAAATAGATTGAAGGAATAATACATAAATAAATAAGAAATGTCATACGATAAAAAATTTCAGAATCTGAAAGGATAAGAGGTAATGAAAAATTCTCATAACTCCGAGGTATTTCTCCTCATCTTAATGACTGGACGTTTGAGTTTGTTGAGGAAATTGTAGCATTATATTATTATATCCACTGATAAATCTTATAATCGACTGTTACGAGAGGGAAATTACGTTTACGAGTGTTGTGCATTTGCTGATACGGTAATGACTAGTACTTGCCGTTTATGAAATTACCAATATCAGTTTTGAAGGATTGTAGGGCAGGTAATGAAGTGCCGAGGGTTATTGTTTATGGTTCATCAGAGGTGTAATTACATAATAGTCGAAATAAAAAAATCAAAAATTCTAATGACCGGTTCCACACTCGATGATTCTATTTCTCGATATCTTTTTTTTTCGAGAGGATAAATCGTGGCGATACTGCGGGCGTCAATTAATTAATTATCTCATCGAGGAACGAAGGCAAAAAAGAAATCGATGAAGGCACCAATCGACGAGATTGATGACGCAATTAATCATCGGGCTCCGAGATATTTCGAGGGCTCGCGGTGAATCATGTCGAAGTTGGGCGTTCAGTTACCAAAAAATCTGGAAATCCATGGAAGATAGCGAAATTTTTATTATAACCTTTCTTACAGATCTAATTACGACCTACAAAAGAAGTTCTAATCAAAAATTCGTTATCTCTCTCACATTCGGAGATATCAGTGACAAACTCATCAGTGGGGTAAATAGGCTTTTCACAATTTAACGCTTGGCTACTGGTTTGCTCATATTGTGGTTTCAGTGAGTTCTTTCAACCCTTCGAGGCTCTCTGAGTCGTTAAAAAGCTTTGGATACTCCATATTTTAAGGGGGGAAAAAGCTAAAGAGACATTCCATTGCAGTGGAGACGAAGGTTTTGGCTGGAACTATTGCTGGCACATCCTAAGGGGATTGTTCTGTCTCCGGCGCATGATTCCACTCTTCTGGCATCCGGTGAACATATACAACGTATATATATACAGGACAATTGTCTGCGTGAAAAACGAGTGACAGGATGAAATTCTAGGGAAGGATGAGAATGCGACAGTGTGCAACAAGATCGGAAATCGGATAGCGTGGAAACTGCACCTCCTGGAATACACCACTGTCTTTTCTCCTCCTGTTTTTCGGTTTCAATCGTTCTTACGTAAACTTCTAGCCTTTAAAGACTCCCCTGTTGGTGATTTTGGTGAAGTACAAGTGCTATCAGGACGAGAACCGCTGGAGTTTCCTGATAATGCCGTTTTTTTCTATCCCCCACAACTCAGATAAATAAAACTTCTTCATACCATTTTAATTGATGTTAATTTGTGATAAAATCTACAGAGCTCTCTCAAATATTTAAATTTCAATTAGTCTATATAGCTGATAGGATAATATTTTGTTAGTCAATTCGATCATGATTTCATTACAAAAATTATTTATTTCAATAAAATAATACCAACGTGCTTTTTTGCAAATGTTTATTCATTTTCGTAAATGTGGGGTAAACCACCAAAAACCAGAAATCATTGAAATATTAATTTCTTTGAATGAAAACCATTCTTATCCTCTCAGTCGTCAAAAACAATGACGAATGAAGAGAGAGAAACAACAGGGAGGGAAATACATCGATAAATAATCCCGATGTAAACTCTGTTGTCCCTGAAATTCCTTAAATCCCCCCTTCCCTCTGCTGTTGTTGTTGACGCGACGAGTGAGTGATATTAAATTCAATAATTTGAATATAGAAGGGTAGCGGCGGATAAGTCAATCGTCGCGTTTGTTCAGAGATGGTAGATGGTCAGGTGAGGTGAATTCAGAGTTTTAGTGAAGTGCTCAGGACTATTAGATAAATCCATCTTCCTGTGTGTCCATTGTCTTTAAATGTGACAACATGTGGTGTCTTTGGGGCCGACACACCGCCACGTCCTCGCCGTGGCCCTGGATAACGCAGAGAGCGGCGTATTAAATGTCATATCTCCCACACTACTTGTTTCCGGATAAAAAGGTGACCAGATCCTTAATCAGGTGACGGAAACCCATCCAACCAAATAAAAAACATCCAAAATGGTTTGGTGGACCTAAACTAGATATTTACCATTTTTTGAAAATTAAATGTTAACTAAATTTGTAAATAGACTAAATATTTCCATCTTTATTCTTGCCTGCTCAGATAACCCAAAGTCTTTCATATATCTCTCACCCCCAACCTGTGACCTTTGCCACATATTTTTTAAAAGATTAAGGGTTAAGTGTTTAGTAGTGACATGGCATATACATATTTACAACATGAAAAACGCATCGAAAAAAGGGGTATGCACTGGACCATTGTTGACGATTCAAACAGATTAAATGAAAAAAATTGAATATTATCTTTTATTTTTACAACGACATTCCTGGAATGAATTAAACAATCCAAATAAGGATTATTATTCAATTGAAATACATCGTATTCCATTATAAACTACTTTATGCTCGAGCAAATGATATTCCGTTGCTTTGTAATAAAAAAAAATGATCTATCAATTGATAACCAACACTCATGCGGTCTATTGACCATTACGGAACTGATAATAGTCCGGCTCGGGAAGATCGATTAATTCCGGCATCTTGAAATGGGAAATCACAAATATCTCGGGGAGAAGATCTCACGTCCTTTATTTTCTGGTACATTAAGCCGAGACGGGCTTTTTCCCTTGGTTTTTCTCTGGGTTTTCCTCACTGTTTTTTCAGACTTTTCCCTGTCACGTTTTTCATCGCCTCGTCATCGAGACATCTTTCACTTTTCTCAAGTGATTTTTGTCCCCTTTTCTCTCACATCCTGAGTGGGAATTCTTGTCTTACCTAATGGATTTCAATTATTATAAGGAATTATTTAAATTAGAAGTGTTCCTGGCATTACCAGGGATTCCATTTAGAATGGAGAGAACTTCGTTTGTTAATTAAATCACGTGATAAAGTATTGGGAAATTATTTACAAATATTCACGATTTAAAAATGTAAATTGCGTATGACGATTATAAATATTTGCCTTAAATTTAACAATCTTTTTCCCCACTGAAATTTCCCGTTCATCGCAATGAATTTTCATCATCGCAAATCATCATTTGGCCTCGTTACATTCATCAAATTACATAAATCAAATTAATTAATCAAATCAAAAGCCACAAGAAAATTAACTGGACAATTACGTATCCCACAAATATTTATCTCACAGAAATATTTTTCTCTTCTTTTCTATTGTTATTGCAATTTGTGGATTTTCATTTCATGACCTAAAGACTATTTGTTATTGAAAAAATATTCATTTAATGATATGCATTTTTTGACGTGCAATTCATATACTTTTTTCGTAAGGTACTGCCGGTGAATTATAAGTCAAACTAGAGTACTGATGACTTTGATTAACGCGGTAGTTCGGTTTCACAACATTGTTCAACGGCTTGCACGCCTGTGTGATTGATTTCACATTTAATTGATTAATTTCAACATTTATAGCCCATGAATCAAAACTTTTCAACACACAAAATGAACTTCAACATCTGCACATATAGCTTAAAAAAATTTAGGAAAAGCTCATCGTTGTAATTTTCAAAACTAAAAAAAAATAAGAAAATTAATAACTATTGTTTTGGCCCATTCAGACTCCCAAAAATTAAACTGAGTCATTTTTGCATTGAAGTTTATCTACGTATTAATTTTCATAAGAATCTCATGGTTGCTTCGATATACAGGAATACTACTCTCAATCACTGCGGGTGATGCCGTTCGCATTGGTTTTTTTTTCTGCGACGTCATACCGTTTTTCAATTACCATTTTGCCCGAGTGCATAAACCGTTGGAGACAAACACTGCGGGACATGTTTTGCCGCATATCTTTCGGACGGAATAAAACTGAGGGATCAGTCCGGGGTAGTTTGGATATTTAGCCCCAGGGGTGAGACAGTTTTGTTTGCAGGGCAAACACATTAGGGCAGAAGGTATTCATACGTCCACCCAGTGGTCAGACGGGAAAGCATAAAATGTTGATGGTGACTTTTTTTTCAGACCTCCGGCCATTCCTTTTTCTGAAAGGGATCACATGTTCTCTGACAATAGTGTCAATATTATCGTGAGACATTCGTGGGAATTTTCTGTTCCCGCGGGATGTATAAAGTCTCGAAGAGTATTTTATCAGATCTCCATAGAAATCCTGATATTTCTCTACTCTCACAGAACTCTGAAAAAAATCTCATCAAAATTTTATTACTATTCAAGCTCAAATTAAATGCATCTGATATTTCAATAAGTTAATCATAGTTCAATGCGATTGAGTGTAATTAATTCGTTAATTGTTAATTAATTTAGTGGTTCAATATCATCAATGTATTTATTAAACTATTTGAAAATTAATAAATGGTTTGGGCTTAGCACGAATATTTATTGATGTCATCCAGTTTATATCGCACCTATACAGAAAATTCGTGACAGTGAAATTAAATTGCTATGATAAAAAAATAAGTTAAGATCAATTCTTTGAATAAAGAAATAATAAATGATAATTAAGAGTAATTAAGACTGGCTTTAGACTAAAGTGTCCCAGTAGTGCAGGTTCGAGTTCCGGAGGTGAAAAATTTTTCATCGTCGGAACACGAATTGATAGAGG